ACCTGGGAGACTGAAGTATTAGGCTTCTCCACCTTTCATCTCTCTTATGAGCTGTTTGAAGAGCCACAGACCTCCTGAACCAAAAAGTAGGATTCATGACCTAAAACTCTAAAAAAGAGAATTTTATTTTATTTTATTTTTTATAGTGGAAGTTCTCCACTTCTCTCTCTCTCTTTTTTTTTTTTTTTTTTAAGATTTATTTATTTGTGCATACAGAGCTGGAGTACAGGCCAGAGGCTCAGGGGCGGCGAGAGGCTTCACCAGAGACAGAGTGATGAGCAGAACAGGCAGATCAATGAAGTCCACTGCTGAGGGGAGCAGCGGGCGGGTCAGGAGAGGTCTGCCGCACCATGTGGTCACCTCCGGGGCAGGCAGGAATCGAATTCATGCTGAAGTGACTTTAGCTTCTTAGGCTTTAACCTGCTGCGCCACCAAGGAGGGCCCTCTCCACTTCTTTTTTTTTTTTAAGATTCATTTATTTATGCATACAGACTGAGATACAGGCCAGACATTCAGGGGCGGTGAGAGGATTCACCAGAGACAGAGTGGGGAGTAGAACAGGCAGGTCGATGAAGTACACTGCTGAGGGGAGCAGTGGGGGTGACAGGAGAGGTCTGCTGCACCATGTGGGTCAGCTCCCTGGCCAGGTATCAACTTGTGCTGAAGGGGATGAGGCTAGCTTTGCAGTGCTGGGCTTTAACTCGTTGTGCCACCAGGGAAGACCCAGAATTTAATTTTAAATAAAGCTGCATTAGAAATCACCAGTAAGCACACATCGTCTGTAGCAGCTTTCTTTTAGAACAACCTCTAGCTCTCAGCAGGGACTCAGTAATTGGTTTTGCTGCTATTATTTGTTAACAGTTGAGTTAAAAAGTTAAAAAGCCCCTCCCAAACTCCTCCTCAAGTTCTACCCACACTAGGAAAACTCCCCTCAATCTGATTTACCAGCCCCTGCTTAGGGCCCCCATCCCGACACCGTTATCCTCCTTCTTCTGAAATGTCTTTCCTCCATGCTTTCGTCTCAGTGTTCTCCTAAATTCTGTGCGCCCTGCCCGGAAACACTCTGAAGCTGTTCCGATTATGAACCTGCATTAAACAAAACAAGCAAAATTGATTTTTCCTTGAAGCCAGGTCATTCCAGGGTGTCCTATCACAGTGACTCAGCTTTGTGGCCTATTTTCTTAAATTAACTAGGAAGCACTTCCTTACTACAAGAGTATCACTCCGCCAAACTGTGCTGCGCTTTGTTTCTGGAGCCCGTGGTGAGCTACTCACTGAGGGAGAGCAGAACCCTTCCCAGTCCCCCAGTTCCAGCGCCAGTGGTCAGACCCTGTCCTCCTGTATGGTTGACCAGCAGGCCAGAGGTTCCCTTAAGAATCACCCGGAATGCTTGTTACAAATACACATTCCCTGGCCACACCCCTGAGTTTCTAATTCAACAGAACTGGGTTGGGATCTGGGAATGTGCATTCCTCTGAGGCAAGCCAAGTGACTGATACAAGGGGCGTTTGGAGCCCACCTGATCAGCACATCCCTCTTGACATTTTTCTGCCGTGAACGTTACACTGTACTGTCCAGATTCACCTCCCACCTCTCTAGTTTTTCTCCATCTGTGATTCCTTCTTGAATCAGTCATTTAAAATTCATTCCTCATGGGGGCCCTCCCTGGTGGCACAGCAGGTTAAAGCACAGCACTAAGAAGCTAAAGCCACTTCAGCATGAGTTCAATCCCCGCCACGGAGGTGACCCACATGGCGCGGCAGACCTCTCCTGACCCACCTGCTGCTCCCCTCAGCAGTGTGCTTGGTTAATTGGCCTGTTCTGCTCCCCACTCTGTCTCTGGTGAAGCCTCTCACCGCCCCTGCTCCTCTGGCCTGTACCCCAGTTCTGTATGCATAAATAAACAAATATTTTAAAAAATTTCATTCCTCATAGCTCACCTCTTTTTGGGATAAAATTGATCTTTCCTTTGACATCAGCTCTGAGCTGGCAGTGCCTGACCACTGCAACATCCACCCTCTTCTGTGGGCTTAAGAATTATATTTTCAGACATGTCTAGATGTGTGTATGTGGTTCCTTGGGACATTGGATCCCAAACCTAACACCCCTACATTGCAGAATCTGCTCCTCATCCAATACTCTGAAGCAGCACCCATCCGGTCACCCAATCAGACAATTTCCTTCTCCCTCCTGTCATACCAGTTCACAAATCCAGCAGTCCAGTCCTCACCTGTGTTCTCACTGTTACCCAGATGTAGGTCTTTTTTATTTTTTTTTCAAAGATTTTATTTATTTATGCATACAGAACTGGGGTATAGGCCAGAGGCTCAGGGGCAGCGAAAGGCTTCACCAGAGACAGAGTGGGGAACAGAACAGGCAGATCGACGAGGTACACTGCTGAGGGGAGCAGCGGGAGGGTCAGGAGAGGTCTGCTGCGCCATGTGGTCACCTCCGGGGCAGGCGGGGATCGAACTCATGCTGAAGTGGCTTTAGATTCTCAGTGCTGTGCTTTAACCTGCTGCGCCACCAGGGAGGGCCTGTAGGTCTTTTTTAAAAAGATTTTTTTATTTATGTACAGAACTGGGGTACAGGCCAGAGGTGCCAGGGGTAAGAGGATTTACCAGAGACAGAGTGGGGAGCAGAACAGGTAGATCAACGAAGTACACTGCTGAGGGGAGCAGCAAGCAAGAAAGGAGAGGTCTGCTATGCCATGTGGGTCACCCCCTGGGTGGGGATTGAACTTGTGTTGCAGATAGCTTCATAGTGCTATGACTTAACACTTTGTGCCACCAGGATGTCCCTGTTAGCTTTGCAACTGCACACAGTCCCAGTTTTGTGTCACTGCACGAGCTGTTTAATCTTACTCCCCAGCAATCTTTATCTTTAGCACTTCATCCCTCTTCCCCATCCTCTCGACTCCAACTCCTGGCATCTCTACTGCATTTGCTCTCCAAGTCTCTACTTCTCTTGATCTATTCTGCTTGACCTAACATCCATCTCTCAAGCTGCAGCTCACATGCTATTTCTTCATTTCCCCTCATTCATCCAAATCTGAACTCCTCGTGACAAAGATGAAAGTCAGTCATCAGTGTCTTTCCATACTTGGCTCTATGTTTGCAGAAAGGATAAAGAAATGAGCAAATGGTGAACGAAAGAATGAATGAATCCATTCATGAATGAACGGATTTAAAGCAGCAGCATGATATTGACATTGCATTGACATAGCATGACTCTTCCTCTATGCTTCTATTTATTGATGAGGTTGTTATTCCCTTAGTATCAAATGCACAGCTGAGTTCCAATCAGCCAGTCTCAGTATAAGCCCGAGGAGAAATAATTAATTTACTATTAGCAATTATTGATAATATACTACTCTGCTCTATTCTCATTCTAAATGCATTCTGACTTCCACAACTAAATACATATGCATAAATAATTCCCTAAGTGTGGCCAAACAGAATGGATTGCTCCTTATTTACTAGCCAGAGACCTGATGCATTTCATTAGTGTAGCTCTCACCATGCTGTGTTAGAGTTCACTGCTTCATGTCCCTATTTTCAGTCACATTGTGCATTTCAGTAGGAAAATAATTAAATCCTATGTATCTTCATTTCCTTGTTATCTTATACGTCTATGTCCATATATGATGGGAGACAAGTGACAATTTTAAGCAAATGGATTTTTAATGCTTCCTAAAAAGGATGGGAAAACTTTATGAAAGCATGCCAGGTGTTTCTAAATATCCGTCTGTGCCTTCCATAAAAGCACGTCTCCGTGCTCTCTCAGCCGATACAGCATTGGGCCGCGGCCATGGTTGGGATAGAGTTGGGGCTGGGGATTGTTGCTCTCATGCCCTGGCTCTGGGCGCCCAGCTGCTCTTCAGCTTCTGCCTTTGCAGGTGTTGCTTTACTATTTCGGGTACAAATCTCCACCCCGCTGCTCCCACAGTTCTGCAGAGGACATCCTTCCATCCTACACACTGACATTGTATTCCCTGCTCACCAGGACAGTTCCTGTGTGTTAAAGTCCCCAGTGAGGGTGTGAGCCCTTTTGTCCAGGACAACAATACAGTTAAATATCATACTCCAAATTCAATTTCAGCCTCCTCTCCCTCTGATGGCACCCCTCTTTTTCTCTCAAAGCTGCCCCAGTCTTTCCACAGCATGTGTAGCAGGTGAACCTGGTGCCTTCATTCACCACATCTTGCCCAACTCCCTGAAAACTTTCCAGCAGTTTATCTTTTTTTTTTTTAAAGATTTATTTATTTATGCATAAAGAACTGGGGTACAGGCCAGAGATGCAGGGGCGGCGAGAGGCTTCACCAGAGACAGAGTGGGGAGCAGAACAGGCAGATCAACGAAGTACACTGCTGAGGGGAGCAGCGGGCGGGTCAGGAGAGGTCTGCCAGGCCATGTGGTCTCCTCCGGGGCAGGCGGGAATCGAACTCATGCTGAAGTGGCTTTAGCTTCTCAGTGCTGCGCTTTAACCTGCTGCGCCACCAGAAGGGCTGAAATGCATCCCACGGAGGCTGAACGTTGTCGTAACTGTGGCTATGTCACCTGGTGACAATTTCTTGGAAACTTTATTTTTTTTTCTCCCAGGTTGTCTTTGTAGACATAAAAGTTATATTCTTTGAGAAAGTAATCGTTTTTGTGGCAACCATGCCATTTCCCTTACCATTATTTTATTATGGCTGTGTTGAGCATACCCAGAGCTCATATTTATTGAGTGTTTTCCAGCTACTGGGCTTACATTGAATAACCTTATGTTATTCAAATAGTCAAAATCTCACAGGACTGTTTTTGTCATCTCCACTTTAGAGATGAGGAGACAGAGACGCAGAAAGATTGAGCAACTATCCCGGATCACACAGCCACAAGTGGCCAGGCCACCATGGCCTTCATTAGGCAGTTTCTTGTCAGGCTCGCATTTCCCTCTGCTCACTGACTGCGGCTCCGGGCCTGTCACTGAAGGCTGTGTCTTGCCTTCTCTGCCTGCAGGATAAAGAAGCTGAAGGAGACGCTGGTTGCTGTGCAGCAGCTGGACAAGAACATGAGCAGCCTGAGGACATGGCTGGCTCACATCGAGGCAGAGCTGGCCAAGCCCATTGTCTACGAGTCCTGTGACTCGGAGGAAATACAGAGGAAGCTGAACGAGCAGCAGGTAAAATTGTTTTCCAGAAAACAATTGAAGGAAGGCAATAAGCACATGAATACTGCCTCCTGACAGGGAGAGGAATGGTTGAGAGATGATGAATCAGGATGAAAAGTCAGGAGGAAGCTGGACAGGATGGTGGAAGGGGAGGCCTTGACTAGGCCAGAGTCAGAACACGTGGGTTCCTTGCAACTAGTTGACTCTTTAAAAGCTCTGCCCTCAGAAAGTTAGTGCTGTTGGCCCACCGTGGAGCGGGCTGAGGTGGCAGGGAGGTCAAGCTGTGATGAGATAGCCAAAGCAAGGATCCCAGTTTTGTGAAATTTGAAGCTATGAGCCCACAGCCATAGACTCAGAAAGGGTTTTTTTCCCTACCTACAGTGCTGAGAGTGATTACAGCACACAGTGCACAGCCTAAATTTTGTTTTGCAAGGCATGACCCGAAGACAACACACCTTTAAGCTGGTTCTCTTAAAAAAAACAGTGATTAACAGTAAATCCTTCCTTGCTTCAAACCTTGCCTTACCACTTTTATGTATAACCTGGGGCAAAGTAAAACATGGTCTCCTACCTCGGATCCCTAAGATAGAGAATGCCAATCTTCACAGGAAGTGACTTTCAATATTATTGAAAAATAATGAGGAAAGCCCTTAGTGTAGAGCTAGCACAAAATAAGTGCTTAGTAAAGTGTATTTTAATTACAGTTTCCTCTGGTAAAAATGTTTTGAAATGATTCCATAAATATTGTGGGGCTAGAGTTTCATGCTGGAAAGGAAAGATGAATGGTAATGTCTCCAAAGAGGAACAATTCTGGCAAATTTGTTTCAATAGATTTGTTTCAGATTAAGTGGATTAAATTTGTTTCAGATTGAATTGATAAGAAACACATTTCCAAGTATGTCCCTATGTGGAGTTTCTGTAAGTTGCTCTTGCCAATGTACTTAATCTTTATAGACTTAATTAAGCAAACATATATGTTGACTTGCGATGGCTTCCGAGAACATTTGGCAATTATGTTGGTGTTATAGATGAAGAGTAAATTCAGAGACAGCATGTGATCATTTTCGACTATGTTGTGAATGGATATGAAATCTGAGACTATGTTAGAGCACATACATGACATTATAAAATATTGACTTAAAAAGAAACTTTGAGAAGAAGTATGGGGGATTTTTCTCCATTATTTACTGTGGGAACGTGGTGGAGATCCTAACTCAGATCCTACAAAATAGTGGGGGGCCCTCTGTGACTAGGTCCTCTGGAATTTTTAACTCTCAGAGCTGCCCGCACTGAGTTTCCAGCAATCCATCAATTAGTCTGGCTCTTCTGCCCTGGCCCGATTCCTTCTCTGGCTCCCCTTCATTCCTCTCTAAAATATAGTCAAAATTATAAGGAGACAAGACTTCGCCACATGCCAACATCGTAATTCTGACCAAGAAGGCCAGTTATCCAGAGACAGAACACCACCGTGAAAATTCTGGATCCTGGAGGTGAGGCTGCAGCCCCCTTGGACGGCAGGAATGGAGAAGGGTACACAAGAGCCAAGCTGCCTTCTGACCACATCTTGCTCCCCAGCTGGCCCAGACCACACTGAAGACGCCCCGGGCCACAGCTTCTCCAGTGGTAGTGGGGACCTAAGGTGGACATTAGCTTCCTAGCACTGCAGGATACATCCTGGGAGGCCCACTTGGATCTCACCTCCCTGGGGGAACCTGAGGGCTTGGTTACAGGGGCAGGAGAGAGATGAGGCTAACCAGGCTGGCAGCGAACAGTCTTGGCAGACTATGCCCCTGCCTGCAGCTGCCTCAGCACAGACTGAGCCAACAGTTCTGTCCACTGGAAGAGCCAAGCCAGGGGCCTGCATTGGGACCCCAGACACAGGCCTTTGAGTCCTTCCCAATGTCCCACATGGTTAGTGAAACAAATTGCAGCCCTGCCGACAGCTGAGCATACAGCTGAGCATACCCTCCTGTCCCACCCACCCATGTCTGGTCAAAGAAACTAGGCGGCTCCAGTCCATCCAACTGCGGTCAGGGCAGGGACAGCTAGCAGCAAGACCCCACCACTGAGCTTAGCCTCTGTCAGGGAACCTGCAGTAAGCTCCAGCAGCCTCAGAGTCCAACCCCAGCCCCACCCCTCCCAACCGCAGAGTGGGACATTGTCTGATTGCTGACATAGCCTGTGCTAGTTGGACAGAGAGCCTCGCCAGTGATCTCACTCACACGCCTGGCATTGCCTTGTGGCCCCCTGGGCAGGAGAGCCTGAAAGGCCACGCTCTGGCTCGTGAAGACTAACCCACAGTTGGGCAAAGCTGGAGGTCCCTCACAGCCAGGGAGTGTGTGACCTTGCCTAGCAGTGGGGCACTGTCACTGCTTCTGAAATATGAAACCCAGACCGTGGCCTCGAATGACCTGAATACAGAGTCCACCTGCAGGACCTCATGATCTGAGGTCCCATCCAACCAGAAGCCACTGCAGACCTCATGTGGCTGCCCTGCCCAAGCAGAGTCCAGTTGGTGTGGGTGCACTGCGCAGAACTCAGTGCTGAGCACTGGTCCTGCAGAGGGGATTGCAGTCAGAAAGCGAAAGGCAAACCTGTGTGATCTCATTTATGTGTGGGAACTGAAACAAATTGAATGCATAGAAACAGTAGGTTGGTTGTCGCTGGGGAGAGGACTCCGTTGGGATGCCATTGGCCTTGGGGGAAATGGGTGAACAAGTCAAAGCTAAAACTTCCTGTTCTAAGAGGAGTAAGTGCAACATAGTGTACTAATTGACATCCTGCATTGTAACGCTGAAAGTAGAAAGCGCCTTAAAGATTACAAAAAATCTCAAAAGTTCTCTCCCTACACGCACAAGTTGTAACCACCAGAAGAGACTGAAGAGACTGAGGCTAATTACATGTCTTGTAATCATTTCGAGAGATGTACACGCATCACCTTGTATGCAAACTTGTCTATTGCTATAAGTAAATTCTGTCTCCAGACAGCTGCAAAAAAATGTTTTGAGTGCTTGGGGAAAATTAAAGCAAACTACTGTAACTTCTTTAGAAGCATGGGTTATGTTCAGCTATCTAACACTTCTTCCAAATGTATATCCTTATCCAAGATGTACCTTAAGACTTAAAATTTATCTGGTGGTCTCATTCTCTTTGTCTTTTTCTTTGTGCCAATAGTGAGTTCAATTTGCAATATTCTAGTTTGTATTTTTAGACCAGAAATTATCACGATACCTTCCACATCAGTTAAAAAATAAAATTCCAAGAGATTTGAAAGAACTTTTGGGTAGAAATATATTTTGGATAGATTTTTACCTTCTAGTAGCAAGTTTATAAAAGTTCAAAAATTTAATCAAGCAGTCAACAAAATAGCAGTACTTATATAGGAGACATTTGAGCATAAGGTAAAAGAGGAAATAGGACAAGAACTGACAAGAATAATATTCTCAGCTCTCTGAATAAGCTGAGGAGTTATCACTAGAACAAGAAAAAAGACAGGCAAACTAAAACCGGTCCTAATGGAAAGGAAAACATTAAAAACTTTGCAGAACAGAGCAAACAAAAATGATTCTGTAGGTCTCCTGTTAACTGATGAAATGCTCTGCATACATGTAGTTGAAAGGTTAATAGAGAAAAGAAAGTACATTTGGGATTTGCAGTTAACATGAAGACTTTATATGTAGGACTTTGGACATCTGGCCTTGTTTAGCACCACAAACGCTCCATTTCTGTCCTGTGTTTAAAATTGCTCACCCAGGAACCGCTGATGTCATGCATGATAAAGAGCCTTGCTCCCCTAAAACAATGGTGCATTTTAATCATGGTGGAATTCACTGTTGGTAAGTTTGCAGAATTTTCAACTCAAATGCCTGTTCTCAACAGAACTTCCAAGTCTTAACAGATCATTTCTTTGATTGGCTGATTGATCGATAGGGTTGACATGTTCTATTAGAAGCGGCATGTCTCTGAAGTAGATACCAGGGCAAGACTCACTTTCAGTCACCAAAGAAGCTAAATTTACTCTTCATACAATTAGTCTATTTCACTTGCCCATTTTATATCACAACATTGTTCACATAGCAGAGATACTTCTAGATTCATTTCTCACAGTCTTGGGCTGACCAGATTGCAGAGATGAAGTGCACGGAGCCCCTAGGCATTCAAGGAAAGGAAGTTTCTGTCCATCTATGGCCTGCCCGCTTGCCGGCCAAGCCCACAGCAGCCTCTGCCATCTGTTCTGGTGGCCACTGATAAAGCCTGTGTGTCCCCACAGGACCTTCAGCGGGACATCGAGAAGCACAGCACGGGGGTGGCCTCCGTCCTCAACCTGTGTGAGGTCCTCTTGCACGACTGTGACGCGTGTGCCACAGACGCTGAGTGTGACTCCATCCAGCAGGCGACGCGAAACCTGGACCGGCGGTGGAGGAACATCTGCGCCATGTCCATGGAGAGAAGGCTCAAGTAAGCTGGCTGTTGGAGCAGTGGGAGAGGAAGGTGCAAACAGGAAAAAAATTTTGGAAAGATGCCCAGAGTATCCATGGTTCACCATATTCTTTGCCTCTCAAAGTCCAAAAGTCAACCTTGGCTTCCCACTGCCTCCCTTTTGTTGGGAAACCCAGTGGACACAAGGTAATATCTGAATTCAACAAGCCCAGTGACAACAGGCCTGACCAGTTATGTGTTTGTTTGTTTGTTTATTGCATATACAAGAGCTGGGGTGTAGGCCAGAAGTATGGGGAAGGGGTGAGAGGACTCACCAGAGACAGAGTGGGAAGCAGGACAGGCAGATGTACTGAAATCCACTGCTGAGGGGAGCAGTAGGCGGTTCAGAAGAGGTCCACTGGGCCAGGTGGGTCAGCTCCCTGGCTGGAGATCAAACTCGTGGTGGTGCAGTGGCTGCGGATAACTTCATAGTGCTGAGATTTAACCTCTTGTGCTACCAGGGAGGCCCCAACTTAACCATTGAAATACAATTCAGAAAAATGAAAACATGCTCTTCCCAAGTAAACCATTACTGAATTTGTGACTATAAAAGAAGTGACTGTCTTTTCTCCAAAATGAAGTAAGACACTTATTGAGGTTTAAATCCTTGGACATACAGCAAATGGTGATGTTAGAAAACTCTAGTGGGCCCTCCCTGGTGGTGCACCTGCAGCATGAGTTCGATTCCCGGCGCCCAGGGAGGTGACCCACGTAGCACAGCAGACCTCTCCTGACCTGCCTGCTGCTCCCCTCAGCAGTGTACCTCATCGATCTGCCTGTTCTGCTCCCCACTCTGTCTCTGGTGAATTCTCTCACTGCCCCCACACCTTTGGCCTGTACCCCAGTTCTGTATGCATAAATACATGAATTTTTTTTAAAAGATAAGAAAACTCTTGTAAGGATTAAAGGCACGGAACTTTGTGCTCTCTCTGGGGAACTTGTGAAAAGCTAGTATTTGTCCTGCTTTCTGAAATAGGCTGGTTTTGGTGAGGGTGCGTTTGATGTTAGACTTCAATGAATGTTCAAGTTTCAGTTTTGCTTAGTGGAATGTTGGTCTGAGCAGGGCCTGCAAGCATGTGGTTGCATTTCTAAACTGAAATTTCTAAACTTCCTATGTACACTGACCCAGAACAGTTCAGATTATGCACTTATAATACTTGATTTGACTAATTCCCAATCCAGAGCTACAGGACATTTGTTTAAAAAAAAAAAAAAAAAACAGCTGTTTTATTTTAGCTCAAACAGTTGTCTGTTTTTCACTCTGGTCCAATTTGACTGAGGCACAGTTACTGTTTGGCCCATCGGTTGCTGTGCTGGGGCAGCCCTAATCCTGCGGCAGGCTGCAGACCCAGGTCTGGAGCATAAATAAACCATCTTCAACTGTGAGATTCAGGTCTTTCATTTTCTGCCTCAGGATTGAAGAGACGTGGCGGTTGTGGCAGAAATTTCTGGATGACTATTCTCGTTTTGAAGACTGGCTGAAGATTTCGGAAAGGACAGCTGCCTTCCCCAGCACTTCTGGGGTGCTCTATACCGTTGCCAAGGAAGAATTAAAGAAATTTGAGGTGACTCATAATGCCAAATACTTAACCCTTATTTTGCTGTCCAAGTAGCTAGCTGGGAGTTGGAGTCCTGAGGTACAAACTAAACATTCACCCACACATTATTTGTTCAAACAACTTGGTGATGACTTTGTGGTCATAATCATTATCAGCTCATAAACTGTTAAATAAAAGAGGAGATTTTAATTTAAGTCTACCAAGAATTGCAATTAGAATAATCATAAGGAGAAATTCTAGCTTCCCTCCAAAGGAAGGCATCGTTTTCAATTCATGACTCTTGACAAGCAATCACCCATCTTTTCTAGTATTAAGGTACAATGGTTTAATGGTTTTCCATATCTTAAAAAAAAAATCTATCTTCCAAATATATTTTCTTGATTTTTCTTAATCTAGTTGGAACATAGCTTCACTCTTTTCAATCACTGGTAAAATAGAGTTGGATCTAAATGGAACGAAACATTTTAATTGGAACCCATTTCTATTACAAATGAAGAGCCGTGCCACTTTGAGTCACTGAAGACTTTTCAATTACGTAGAGACAAAAATAGCCACAATGTAATCAGCCTGATAAAGGAAGGAATCATCCATGATTCCGGTCCCTGGCCTGTGTGTTCCTGTTTGCTGTGGTTTGGCTGAATCACAGCCTTATGGTGAGGCTGCCCCTCAGCTGCCTCTCATATCCACAGGTGACCTCACGTAGCTTTAAGCTGACTGTGTTTTGATCTCAGGTTTCTTTTCCTTCAATTCCCACTGACAGGCAGGCAACACTCACAAATTATCAAAGTATGCTCACAAATAGTGACAGCAAAGAGTTCTGGTACATATAGCTTACAAAAAATCTTTCTCAGTTGCTTCTCCTACCCCAGTCTTCTCACAGTATTTACCGAGATCTATTACAGGAAAAACAAAGTTAGGCTTTTGTCTTGGGGAGTTTAAAAACAAAGATCATAGAATTGACAAAATGTTCAAATTCTCAGTTAAATAAGTGAAGTATTTGAGTGTGTAATTTTATGTGTTAATGTACCACTACATTCTGACTTTTTTTTTCAATCTGAAGTGTTTTTCCTTCGAAACTTATAGTAATAAGCCACAATACACTCTGCAGTACATTTCAACTCTTCCAGGTGGAAGAAGTGGTGGTGGAAGCATTCAGGTCCTGTCTCTTATTCCTTCATCTTCCTAAAGGTTCATGCCTTCTATAACTAGCCACCACTATAAAGCAGATTATAAAAGATGCTTTCTGGTGCTATTTTAGACTCTCAGATTTTATGGGAAAAGTTAGTTTTATAAATAGATTCAATAATGAATGACTTTTTCGTTTACCTTGTAATTAGTTTTCTCGGGAAATGGAAATAAGTCACAAAACCAGAAGTATGTTTGAGGGAAGTCTGTAACCTGCTCATTGTGTGAATATTGGAAAGGATCTGGGGGTGCTTGAGTGTCCCCCCACATGGTCCACCAGCACCTTAGTGGGCGCACATATATGCTGACTTCCAATAATCACAAAACCTGAATATTCCTTACCACGTTCTTTTCTGGGGTTTTACAGACTAGATGATTGGATTTGCTAGGATGACCTTTTTCCAAGATTTATTTTGTTTTGATTCTATTTATGGAGATGAAGTGGATTTGCTACACTATATATGTTGCAGGTGTATCAAGTAGGTAGATTCATAGGTCTTCACCTGTATCTTATCACACCACATCCACCACCACAGCACCCCTCATGTGCCATTAGCACCCCTCTCCCTTTTCTCCCCACCCTCTCCTCCCTCTCTTGCTGTTATGGCAACATGGATAGAAATGGGGGGAGGGAGGTCACGCTAAGAGAAGTAAATCGGGAGAAACCTGATGGTTTCACCGTATCTGGAATATAAAGAAACAATGCAGCTGATGAAGGCAAGCCAACCCAAACTCTAGGCATAATAGCAAGAGCTCCTCTTTTTTCCATGGTAGAACAACTGCTGTTGTGTATCTGCAGCCTCTCTCTACCCCTCTGAGCTTAGGCATTTAGGTTGTTTCCATAAGTTGACTATTGTAAATAGCACTGCAATGAGAATAGGAGTGAAGATAGAGGGTGAAGAATCTTTTTTGGGGGGAGAGAGCACAATTTACCTAGATATAAATTTTATTTATTATTTAAAAAGTATTGATCATTATACTTAATTCTTCATTATTTACAAAACTGTACTCTGTGTATGTATCTGTCGCCTCCGTGCCTGCGTTTGTGAGTTATAAATTCGCATGTATTCGCACCGTTTCTTTGCATTGTGGTTTGGCCTCTTCCTTCAGACACCGATCACCATTCCTTGCACACTCATAAGCAGTGGCCCTTTCGCTCCGCCTGGGTCCAGGTGGCTTCTGTTCTCGGTCCCACTGCAGTGGGGAGCCCCTCGCCCTGGCCGGAAACCCCTCCCTGACGGTCCTCCCCCTGCTTCTCTGTGGCCTCAGGCTTTCCAGCGGCAGGTGCACGAGAGCCTGACCCAGCTGGAGCTGATCAACAAGCAGTACCGCCGCCTGGCCCGGGAGAACCGCACGGACTCTGGCTGCAGCCTGAAACAGATGGTCCACGAGGGCAACCGGCGCTGGGACGACCTGCAGAAGCGCGTCACCTCCATCCTGCGCAGACTCAAGGTCTTTCCCCTGCCCTTCTGGTAGTGCCCAGGCTCAGAGAAGAGGCTTGGGCCATTTGAACACAACATAGGGATGTGAAGGGCTTATGGAATGCTGGGATAGCTATGGGGGTACCCAGAATGCATTGATGAGCTGAAAACTCCGAGTTCTCATTGCTCGCTGAGAAAACGGCTTCCACGCAGCCTGGGGACGGGCGGGGACACCTCAGTCTGTCTGTGGGCTTCTCATTCCTTCCCATGTTGTTTTCCGTGCAGCACTTCATCGGGCAGCGGGAGGAGTTTGAGAACGCGCGGGACAGCATCCTGGTGTGGCTGACCGAGATGGACCTGCAGCTCACGAACATCGAGCATTTCTCAGAGTGTGATGTTCAGGCCAAGATAAAGCAGCTCAAGGTAACAGAGGACTGATTTTTCAAGCTATCAGTGCAAAAGATGTCTGAAGAATAAGGGACTTGCAGGATTTCCTTTCAGAAGGATGAGTGCTTCCCAACTGGAAAGAAGTTAAGGGAATACAAAAGATAATCAAATCAAGAGTATTCCCAGAGACAATTGCCCTTCCCGTAGATGCTTTTGGTTTTTAAGTGGGTGGTAGAGTGTCAATGATCTTCTGTTTTGTTATTGTTCCTGATGTGTTTCTATCATCTTCCAGTAATTTATTCAACCTCCATATTCCAAAGCAATAAAACTTTCTCATGTTGAAGTCCCATTGCACATCGCTTACCTTTTCCTTGATGCCGAGTTCGCTTTGGAACACATTCGATATTTTTCTCTATACGATTCTAATACAGTAACTACTTGAGCAATTCAGTAAGCAGATGTACATTAGGTACAAGTATTCCCTAAGTGGAAGCACATTTTCCAACCTGAATACTGTATTAGGGAGCTTATGAGATTTTCTGTCCAAGATAGATTTTTTTTTTTTAAAAGGAATAGTCATAGTGCCTGTCACATTAGGGAGTTAATGATAAAGCTTTATTTTTTTCAGATTAAAATACTCAATATTTTAAATATTAAATATTAAATCTTCCCATTCCTGCTTAAATCCTGAAACAATGAAAGTTTCATCCAAAAAGAATTTGTGACATTGTCATGGGATGATTTCTCTTAGTCATGTTTGATACAGGATCAAAAATTTGGAAATTAAAATATTCAGTGTATTTTTTCAAAAAACAATTAGGCACATTTTCCAAAGTTCTAAATTTATTTCAGTAGCACCATAGTGGCATTTATGCTTTTGTTCAGTGCCATCAACTCCATGATGGTTTGAATCCTTTTCCTGGTGAATCTCTACCCCCACTGTACCTGGTGATGAATTTTATAAGCCAGAGTTACCTTTCTGATCATGAAATTCTGATTCTACTTTTGACTCCTCTTCTTTCTTTTAAATGTTGATGCCAAACTTCCCTGGTCGCCTAGTGGTTAAGCCTCAGCGCTATCACTGTTACAGCCTGAGTTCAATCCCCAGCCAGGGAGCTGACCCACACGGCACAGCAGACCTCTCCTGTCTCACCCGCTGCTCCCCTCAGCAGTGTATTTCAATCAGTCCACCTTTCTGCTCTCCAACTCTGTCTCTGGTGAAACCTCAAACACCCAGCACTTCTGACCTATACCCCGGCTCTATGCAAAAATAAATAAAATTTAAAATAAATGAAAAAGCATTGCTGTCATGCTTTTGACAGCAATAGCCTCTTGGCTTGTTACGGTGGATGACAAATTCACTATCTCCTCCTTGCTTTTTCTAAATATTGTGAAGTTATTTTGGATCAGTATGAGCAGTCAGAACTTACACTGGACGTGTGTTCCCCAGGCTTTCCAACATGAAATTTCACTGAACCGCAGTAAGATTGAGCAGATCATCGCCCAAGGGGAACAGCTGATTGAGAAGAGTGAGCCTCTGGACGCGGCCGTCATTGAGGAGGAGCTCGACGAACTCCGACGCTACTGTCAGGAGGTCTTCGGGCGCGTGGAAAGATACCACAAGAAGCTCATCCGCCTGCCTGTATGTCACTGGCATTATTGGAGGAGATAAGTTCTGGGTGTGGCAGCAGCATGAGTGGGTGAGGGGACAGACACCATACGGTGCTTGGGTTCCTGTCCTGGTTCCACATGTAAACTTGGGCAGGTTCCTTCATTGCTCTTGCCTCAGTTTCCTCTATTGCCAAACTGGTACCTCCATTGTAAAAAGCATTGCCTTGGGCATTAAATGGGTTAATATCAACATAAAGAGTTTACCACAGTATACTTGGCACATATATTCATGGAGGATGAAGAATCTTCTAATCAGTGGGCTGGAAGTAAGAATGTAAATGGTTGCTCAGTTGATAAGGTGTTCAGTTGAGTCTGCTTTTCTCTCCCATTTCCCTAATTGCTACCACAGTCACACCTTTTTGTTGAGATGTGATTACGAGTTTATTTGGAGACTCCTGTCGCAAAATATATTTTGTATCTGGGATATAAAATCAAAAAGGAGCAGCTCTGCTTTTATTAGTAATTTCCTTCTGCTCTTGGCATGTGCTGGATTCTACTTTGTGTGACAGTGATGGTCCTATGTTGATTTATTTACATTATTTTATGTAAACATGTCTATGTGAAATAGATTACAGTGGTCTGTTTTCCCAGGGATTCAATTGAGGCTTTGGTATATTATAAGTTATTTATAAAAGTGATCAGAGAGTCTCACTTAGTTGATAATACAGTTTACAGTCACCTGCGCCAAGATAGGGGTGGTGACCATGATGGGCTTGAGCACTGAGGCCAGGTGAACGCAGGCGAGCAGTGAGGGGTCTTCGCTTCACCATGTAACCAAGTTGGCTTGACTGCATTTTAGCTCCCGGATGACGAGCACGACCTCTCCGACCGGGAGCCCGAGCTGGACGACTCTGCAGCCCTCTCAGACCTCCACTGGCACGAGACCCCTGGGGACAGCGCGCTGTCCCCCCAGCCTTCCTCTAACCCCTCCCTCTCACTCGCCCAGCCTGTCCGGAGCGAGCGGTCAGGACGAGACACCCCTGCCAGTGTGGACTCCATCCCTCTGGAATGGGACCATGACTATGACCTCAGCCGTGACCTGGAGTCAGCCGTGTCCAGAGCTCTGCCCTCCGAGGATGAAGAGGGTCAGGAAGACAAAGATTTCTACCTCAGCGGAGCTGTCGGTTTATCAGGTAGGGAGGTGCTCTCTCCATAGCTCGGCTTGAAGGGAAATAAAGGAGAATGAATGTTGGGTTATAAACATGTAAGCTAGGCAGGTGTGTTTTCTTCCTTCTCCCATGAAGGGAAATGGCACAGAAGGGCACTCTTGGCCATGACTGGTCACTCATGGAGCTGTGGCCACCGGATTGTCCTCATGTAGTCATGTGCTGCCAATGGGACAAGTACGGTGCTCAGCAGTGAGGACACACAGTTGCTTTTCTCCTCAAAGAGCCTGCCCTTGGCCTGGACAGACACACTAGGGAGGTCTCCGGTGCTCAGCGCGAGAATAGCAGTGCCTGTCCATGGTAGCCTAGAGCCACACGAAAAAGGCCAGTGGGAACCTGGAGGAAATCTGTAGGGACCAGACTTTTGAGCTGAGACCCGAAGAATGACTAGGAGGCAGGTAGAAACAGAAATGTTTGGAGGAGAATAGAAGAGGGAGCCCAGCCCAACTTGATCATTGGCTTTTGGTCACCTGAAATGTGGCCGGAATGACAAGCCTGAGGCATGGAGTGATCAAAGTGGAGGTAGAAGACAGACAGAGAGCTGGTCATGAAGCATCCTATTCACGAAGCCTCTAACCCTAGAGGCGATGACGAGCCACCACCGGGCTCTCGCTTAGGGAGGGAGGTGAGGTGATCAGAGGCTGTGCCCATCCTCGGTGGTGGGGAGCACATTGGGAGATGGAGGAGTGCGGACGTGAAGGTGGGTGGGACGAAGGAAGTGGTGTGGAAAAGAGAATGGAAGGGCTGTGAGGCGTCGGGACGGGGCCTCTGTCACTGCTCTTTGGCAAGATGAGGACTGAGTGACCTGGCTTGGGTGTGCTGGGGAGAGGTGCAGGCGGCTGTCCATCTTAAGGGCCACAAGGAGGAAAGGGGACGAGCGTGTCTCCCAGACCAGGAAGACAGGCCCCAGAGAGAGGGAGGAGAGTTCAGTTGCACACACCCTGGCTGGAAGGTTCCCGAGTATCCAAAAGGAAAATCCCGGCCATAGGTCCAGGGACTGGATATGTAGATTATAGAGTTACCTAAATGTGATGGTGATTGTCTCTGGGGAGTTGGGGGCAGGGTGTCACCCCAACCAGTGTATAAAGCAATGCGGGAAGACACTCAACACATCTAATGAAGGGGTGACAGAGAAAGAGAAACATCTGCCAGTGAAAAATAGAATAAGTGGAGGCCAGTTGTGGCACTTGTAGACACCTCTCATCCACTCTCTTAAAGGACGGTTCTGCCTGTTTCTGACACAGTCAGATCCCCAAGGACTGTCGCAAGAGGCATTGGCCTCTCCAGTGCTTGTGCAGTGACTGGCCCCTGGCTGTCAGGCCCTGACTTGGGCCGTGCTCCCTGATACTTTCTGTGTTAACTGACACAAAGACATGACCACAGGCCCGAAGGAAAAATATGAAACATGAATAATAGTGATGTTACTAGATGTTATAACTTGGGTATATTCATGTAGTAAGCTGTAGTAGCAAAATTGCATTCCTCTTACATTTTATGTGGTTGTTCGACACTTCAGTAGACATATGTGGCTCATGTTTTTTCTCATATATATAATTTTTGATTGCACTAACATTGCATTACCACTTTATGCAGGTTGCATGCATGCATCATGAAACATCAACGTCTGGATTTGCTACATGAAGTAGCCTATTCTCCTTTTAAGCCCAATCGGTTCTTTGGCATACAGTTGGCTCTGGGACCCAATTTCTTTGTCTTCCTTCCTCCTTTCCTTATGGTAGCCACGGTTTTGGTCTTACAGGCCGAAAATGTGTTTTTGTCTAATTTGGTTCACTCTTTCATGTCGTTGAAATATATATATCAGCTATGAGTGAGATCTCTGGACAGCGCTGCTCTAGAATCTGTTGAAAATCCACTCTGCCACGTCCTAGCTACTGAAACGGGATAAGTAGCTCAATCCCTCTGCCCCTCTGCTTTCTCACCCTAGCAGTGGGGATCATGCTCCATGCAGCCCACAGGGTGATCTGAGGATGAGTGAGCGCTTAGAACAGAGCATGACTTCTAACGTGGCTCCTTGTTGTGCGAGCTCTCACGAGGATTCATTTCAGGAAACTTCCGCCTTGCTCACATGCCTCTGTACGCTAGGAACTCTGTCTAGAATGATTAACTACCTTTTTTTTTTCTCTCTAGGAAAATTATTTATTTTCCTGCCACAGAGAACTAAGGTTTGCACAACGTAGCTGGCAACTTAGACTGTGTTCTTTTTACAGATGTAATGATCCCTGAAAGTCCTGAGGCCTATGTAAAACTCACAGAAAATGCAATCAGAAATACTGCTGGTAGGCACAAAAAGCCAAAGCAAGCCTGCCTCACCTGTAACAAGCCTCCTCTCTTGGCACATCTCAGCCCTCTCACACATCTATGGCACACGCATGTGAAAGAAGAACTTTATTATTACTATGCTAGAAAAAGAAGTAGCCTCAGAAAATAATTTAAAATGAAAATTCCAGGCCATAGGTCCCTAGAACCTCCTGTAAGGACAGAACTATTCCCGAAACAAGAACACTTAAAAAAGAATAAGAAACTGGTTTTCTTAATATTGCACTGGGAAAACTGTATCCCAGAGTCAGTAGCTTGGGCAGAGGGTGGGAGAACAGAGTTGTGACATAGCTTGAATGGTGGAGTTATTAATTTACACTTAAGTTTTTGAAGAAAAGCAAAAGAACAGACAGCAAAGTAGCATAGCTACCTGCATCGCTTCTTCGGGAGTTTTAGGGACGCATTTTCAGACAACAATCTGAATGAGCTCACTAATACCCATTCTGCTTTCACCCCCTACTAGCTTCACTCCCTCATCATCAAAGCCTACGGCAAGACTTGCATGCATACTCATTAGCACAAATTCATTTGCAAAAAGGTGTAACATCTCTGTAAAGAGAGGAGCCAGGGCCCTCCCTGGTGGTGCAGCTGGTTGGAGCACAGCACTGCAAGCTGGCGGCAGCCACTTCAGTGCTAGTTCGATCCCTGCCCTGGAGCTGACCCACATGGCGTGGCAGACTTCTCCTATCTCGCCTGCTGCTCCCCTCAGCAGTGTGCCTCATCAGTCTGCCTGTACTGCTCCCCATTCCGCCTCTGGTGAATCCTCTCACAGCCCCTGCACCTTTGGCTGCACCCCAGTTCTGTGTGCGTAAATAAATAAATCCTAAAAAAGATAGAGAGAGGAGCTTAGAGTGGGCTTAGGTGGAAATGCTATACAACTTAGCTTTCTCCTAATGTTGTTTTAGGGATTAAACAAAAGCCAGCCTTTGCTAATTCAGTATCTCTGTAAATAGCTGTCCTGTCCTGAAGCTGAAGTTCTTACTTCAGTGAGTGGATCAGACCCCTGAGCCCACAAAGGCAGCATCTTCTGTGATACAGATAAAGACATTAAAGGGCATACCTGCCCCTGCTTGCTAGGGGACAGCTGGGGGACAGGAACAGTCCCTGCTTCTAGTTATTGGGCTGCAGTGAACTCTACTTTGAGTTTTTAGAAAGGTTTTCCATAGCTTAGATCATGCAGATTTTCAGAAAACCAGCTAGAAGGGGGAGCGGAACTCAACAGAACCCTTTTGCAAAATCTCAAACCTGTTCTTTGGTCCACTCATCTAAATATTTAACCCTCCAGCACTTCAGTACTAAATTAGCTTTATAATTACCTGCACAGATGCTATTTCGATGCTACCCAGTCTAAAGCAACTTATTAAGCTCCCTGAAAACCACGCTTGCGAATGTTCTTGTGGTTGACACTGCAGGGGACGCCAGCGCCTTGGAGTCACGGGTCCGGCAGCTGGGCAAAGCCCTGGACGACAGCCGCTTTCAGATACAGCAAACCGAAAATGTCATCCGCAGCAAAACCCCCACAGGACCAGAGCTGGACGCCAGCTACAGAGGCTATGTGAGTAGCCCTGCCCCAGTGAGCCTGCTGTCGACCTGGAGGACACAGAGGTGTGACAGAGAACGGTGCGGCAGGAGGGTTGTCAGGGCTCTGCCTACACCAGGCTGCCCTTGAGCTCTTGGCATGGATGTGCAGAGCGCAGCCCTGTCAGCAGTGACCTGAGAGGCGGTCTGTGCTGAGTCTCACCAGCCTCACAGTCATGGTCCTGTCCTGTTTTACTGGAAAGCCACAAAATGCTTTGGCCCCCAAAGCCATCAGGCGTTTTCCCAAATTCAGCCAATAGTTTTGGACCAAAGTTATTCTTAGAGCAGCATATTTTAGCTAATAGATTACTTACATGGAATTTTTTTTAGCTCTTTTCCTGGATTTATTGATTCATGTAATAGCCTTGGAACTTTTCTATCCTCTGTTCCTAGAGTTTATTCTGGAGATGACAATTCTGCTGAATGGGAAAGAGAATGAGACATTGCATCTTTTATCAGTGCTATGGGCACATCTTTTAATAGAACATATGATAGTTTTACTTTACACTTGTGTTACTGACTAAATGTTCCCCAAATTCCTATATGTACACTCCTACATCAAATTTGGAAATAAATCTTCTCCATGGGTCAGACCATCTTTTCATATCCAAAAGATGGATTAGTAAAAAGAGAAAATTTATTTTCCCTAAGTCTAATGAAACTCACATATGCTTCTTTTTAAAACCAGGAAAGAAAATATTCTAGTAATATAAGCCGATGTGAATATCCTCCTCATGACTACAAAGAGCAATCATCATTTATTTTTTTTTTCTAAAAACCAGAAAAAAAAATTTGGCCTATGATGCCAACTTCTATTATACTGAAAGCTCTAGTTTTTAAAAGCGTGTTGTGATTTCATGATGACCAGGCTGACATCACTAACAGTATTACTTAGCCTTAGTAAAAATAATCAAGTCATTAGTAATGTGATTTGTGAGAAGCTTTGAAAGATGAGCTTGTATTCAGTCGAGCAGAAGTGCCTTGAAATCACTTGTTCTTTTTATCTTGAGTATTGAGATGTGATTAAACATGCAGTCGGAAGCTTTTCATAGCAGAGTTAATTCTCTTAATACCGATTAAAGCACTGCTTAAATTTTCTCATGAAGCAACCGGCTTTAGCATGGCCTTATGCTCTTGAGCACCTTAATTACTTAATGCAAAGAAATGTTCCTTTGAGATTTGTGATAACGTTACTGTTCACACATTTCGGTTTGAGAAAAAAGGAGCAACTTGCAAAAAGTGATGTCGTGTCTTGCCAGCTGAGGGCTTGCCATTGTAAACCTTGGATTGTTTTGGTCTGTTTCAGTTCACAAAATTAAAAAGAAAATTTTAGGACTTCTCATGCAGAATATGTGGAATATCTGTTGAAGACCCACATGAATATGAATATGTCATGTGTCTTTGACTGATTTTTAGCAGCAAGCAGCAGAGAAATGAGACTCAGTCATGGTTGCAGAGCTACAGAGATATTTTCCCCTGTTCTCATACTGGTGAAAAACTGAGAGTTGTGGCTGTTCCTTCTGTCCGAACAGATGAAGCTGCTAGGGGAGTGCAGCGGCAGCCTTGACTCCGTGAGGAGACTGGAGCACAAACTAAAGCAGGAAGAAGAGAACTTCCCTGGCTTTGTGAACCTGAACAGCACCGAAAGCCAAACAGCTGGTGAGTCGCGTAGTCTCAGCTCACCGGGAGGGCGCGGCAGGTCCAGAAGCCCTTTGCGTGTCCAGCTGAGCGTGCTGCCATGCCGCCCCACCAGTCCGCCCTGGGAGCTTGCCTTCCAGTTTCACTGATCTCTGGCGACAGAAAAGGGAGGTGAGAAAGGCTCACGGTGTTTCTCATGTCCCATTTCTTCTACCACACTGTCTCTGCTCTCCCCAGCCAGGGATTCAAGATGTCGTTCTGGTGCAGAAAGAATCCAAACGACGCCGTCATGTACATGGCTGCTTATTAGCTCATAAAGCTCCTTATAGTGTTACATGCTCTGTAGCTATTTTCCCCACCGATTATCATTAAAAATACAGACACGGGCCCTCCCTGGTGGCGCAGCAGGTTAAAGCACAGCACTGAGAAGCTAAAGCCACTTCCGCATGAGTTCGATTCCCGCCTGCCCCGGAGGTGACCACATGGTGTGGCAGACCTCTCCTGACCCGCCCGCTGCTCCCCTCAGCAGTGTACCTCGTCCATCTGCCTGTTCTGCTCCCCACTCTGTCTCTGGTGAAGCCTCTCGCCGCCCCTGAGCCTCTGGCCTGTACCCCAGTTCTGTATGCACAAATAAATAAATCTTTAAAAAAAAAAAAAAGTAAGCAAAAATACAGACAGGAAAAACACAGCCGTTAAACTCTCTTAACTGACCCTTACCAATGATGACAACAGAAATGCCCGGTAGCCTTACTCTTATTTCTGTCGCTGTTTAAAGCCAGCCACCAAGTGTGTGGGCAGCTGTCCTAAGCATGGCAGGTGGAGCAGGTAACTCAGCCTCTCGCGCCTGTCTGGCAGGTGTCATTGACCGATGGGAGCTCATCCAGGCCCAGGCGCTGAGCAAGGAGCTGCAGATGAAGCACAAGTGGCAGCAATTCAACTCCGACCTGCACAACCTGTGGGCCTGGCTGGGAGACACGGAGGAGGAGCTGGTGCGGCTGAGGCACCTGGGCCCCAGCACCGACATCCAGTCCATCGAGCTGCAGATCAAGAAGCTTAAGGTAGCCGCCCTGGGCCTTCCTGCGTGTCCTCAGAGTCAGAAAAGCAGGTGGTCGGGACCTGGGAATCCACTTCCTAAACCAGCTTGTCACCTTGTTCTTCTGCACAAGCTTGAGTACCACTGGCCCAGCAGGATGGGATGTGCGCACTGGCGTGAACAGTGTGTTTCCTGCGGCTTGAAGCTGCAGGGTTCAGTCTGTTTTGATTGTGACTAAACTCCCAGCCCAGCAGTTAGGTTAATACTCAGGATCGTAATTGCTTCCTAGCAAGCCCCTCCAAGTTTTCCTTAGTCACCCTTTCCCCCACCCCCTCTCGCTTTGAAATCCCCCTTCCTTAATCCACATCAGCCTGCTGAAATACTTCAGGTTGTTTTTGTTCCTTTGCATTCGCAAAGAATGAATTTGTGTGTGCACAAGGGTTTTAAATGACCTAAGTGGTCTTTTACACTTAGGTATGCATTTTACATTTAAGAGCTCGGCTTCTGATGCCCACGCTACACTCTATTTTCGTAAGATCCGTCCGTGTTGTCAATGAGCAGCTAATATCTAACCCAGTTCCTTTCCCACAACACCTATCCCAGGCTGTGTCCCCTAGCCTGCGATTTACAGTGCCATCCCTCAAGGCCAGCTGTAACTGATGGATTTTTTAAATTAAAGGAAGCATTTCCAAAGGACTGTGTTTTTAGTATCTCTATTGTTATTGTCCTTATTTGATGGTTCTACTTTCAGGAGCTCCAGAAAGCTGTGGACGACCGCAAAGCCATCGTCCTGTCCATCAACCTGTGCAGCTCGGAGTTCACCAGGGCTGGCAGCGAGGAGAGCCGGGACCTCCAGGACCGCCTGTCCCAGATGAACGGGCGCTGGGACCACGTGTGCTCCCTGCTGGAGGAGTGGCAGGGGCTGCTGCAGGACGCGCTGATGCAGTGCCAGGTCCGGGGGCACCAGCCGCAGGCCTGGCCAAGAGCAGAGCCTCTGGCTTATTTATCGGTCACTAGAATAATGTAACTGCTTCTGTTGGGGCACAAAAGAAACCATCCCGTACCTCCTCTGTGTTCTTCTAGGCTGGCCAATCTTGAAGCAAGCATCAGACACTGATAAGATTAAAAGTCACAAGTTTAATCGTAACATTTATGTCTCCTGTACACATGGGAGATACCCGGCAAAACTGAGTGACTGGCCTCATGGCTTCAGCTGCCATCATGAGTAGCTCAGTTGAGACAAAGAGGGTGGGAGAAAGAGAAGGGAGTCTACCAGGGAAGGCAGGCGAACCGAGGTGTGCAGATTTAAGTCCTGCATTCGCCACTGAGAAAAGACGAGATTAGGTCTCCCCCCGTACAGCGAGGCAGTCTTCCTCACAGAGAGAAGGTTCCACATAAATGTCTTGTTCAAAGGCAATCTCCTACAGGATTCAGAGCCCCCTGGAGGAAACCCTTTTTGCCACGGACTTATTTTGGGGTGGCAGATCTTAGCAACCTCCACTCCCCATTGTCAGTATTTGCATGAGATGATGATGTACCCAAACTTTTCATATACTGGAAGATCTGCACATGTGACCAAGAGTTGACAGATATCTCGTCATCTTCTGTCCAGCTGAGAAGAGGCAATTTCCCCACTTATCTCAGTCTCACTAGTGCTTCTGCCACTCATTTATTTATTTTATTCATTCACCCAACAGTTACTTGCTGACCACATACCGCATAGGAAGGCAACCTTAAACAGAAAAGTGAACATTGCAAATATTTACTCATCCATTCACACCACAGTTATTTGCTCGGTGTTCACTGTGATAGGTATTACAGCAAGCTGTAAGAATCCAGCACAGCCTCCACTTAATTCTGGAAGACAGATAATAAAAATTGCAAGTAAACACATGCTCAGATGCTTATTGAGATGCTTTCAGATATTGATAATATTAACTGAGAAAAGCCTGGGAGGCTTGGGGATCTTTGCGCTGACTCTAGAAGTCTATTACAGTGAAGGAGACAGAGTAGGTGTAAATATATCATCATGCATGTCTATGTGGATACTATTCTTTTTTTCTTTTAGCATCATTCTTCATTTTGCGCATTTTTTCATCTCCGTTGTATTCCCACAGGCTTCCCACCACCAATTCATCGGAGTGCATCATCATAGTCTGGTGCTCTCTCCCCGCTATTCTGCCAGGAAATAAAAGGAAATTTTGCCATTTGTGACAATGTAGGAGGATCTTGAGGGGAGATGCTATATGAAATGTTAGCTAGAAATAGGCAGTTATCATATGATCTCATCTGTGAAATCTAAAGGGAGAAAAAAATCACAAGCAAACAAAAACAAGCCCACAATGTCAGCTCACGTCAGAGAATAGGGTGGTGGTCACCAGAGGCAGGGGGTGAGGTTGGGGAAATAAGAGAAGAGGGTTAAAATATGCAAACCCCCAGCTGTAAAATAAATAAGTAATAGAGATATACTATACAGAATGGAAACCATAGTTAGCATATTGTATTGTGTATTTGAGAATTGGTCAGTGAGTAGATCTCTACATTTTTCATCACAAGAAAAAGTTTATGTAACTGTGTATGGTGATGGATATAAATTAGACTTACTGTGGCAATCGTTTTGCAGTATATACAAATACCAAATCCCAAGACTGTGGACCTGAAACTAATGTAATATGTCCATTATATGTTTTTTAATAATATTCGATACATGATAAATGCTTAACAAATGTCAACTGCAAATAGAAAGTTCCAGAAGCAGGAAGGTTCTTAATGTGACCAGGAGGAGGCCAAGCAGCCAGTGGGCTCACAGTGCAGTCAGTGAGACAGTGCAGGGAAGGAAGATGGAGCAGTTGGGTTCCAGCTTGCAGTGCCTAATAGCCCTGGCAGGAGTTTGGACTGTATTCTAAGCAAGACAGGAAGCTCTTGCAGGGTGTGAAGCCTGCTTTCCAGGTCCCAAGGGTAATAGCACCTTGCAAGCAGGCACCCAGTCCATTTCACCCTGCACCCACTCCTAGTGCAGTGTCTTAAGCATCGGAGACCTTCAGTAGCTGTATGTTGAACAAATGGATGAACTGATAGATACATGAAGGACTTTGGGACTGAGCTTAGACCTGAAGAGATGGAGGCATTTGAATACAGGAAGAAGAGAAGGGAGAGAGCTGTTTCCTTTCAAGCTATATAATTGTATTAGAATTAAGTGTTTTTATCTAAATTATCCTCCAAGTAATAATCAAGTGCAATTGGTCAGAACATGAGCTCAGTTGATTAGCACAGCACTGGTGTTTCTGCAGAAAGGCTCTCTGTTTAAGATCTTAGCACTATCTTTTCTAATGTTAGCAATTGTAAAGCATGGAAATCTCAGCTGTGAGGGAAAGAAAAAGAAATTATTCAAGAGTATTTTATGGCCCGTATTTCTTTTAAACAGGATTTCCATGAAATGAGCCATGGTTTGCTTCTCATGCTGGAGAACATCGACCGGAGGAAAAATGAAATTGTGCCCATTGACCCTCATCTTGATGCAGAGATACTACAGGACCAACACAAGCAGCTGATGGTGAGATTGATGAAGTGTGCCAACCTCTGGTTGTTTTTCAGCAAGTCTTCTTTCCATTTAGGGAAAAACAAATGTTGGTGGAAACATTTATTTATTTTTTTTACTTTTACATTATTGTCTCTAACGTCCTCTTCTTTACTCCCATTTCCAATTGTTGTGAAGCAGACGATATACATGAACAATAGCATTAGTTTTAGAATCTGATTCTGAAGTCATTGCTTAATTGTAGAAACCTTAGTGTTACACTATCTAATAGTGCTTGTTTTTTGTTTGTTTGTTTGTTTTTTGGTTTTTAAAGATTTATTTATTTATTTGTACAGAACTGGGGTACAGGCCAGAGATGTGGAGGGTGAGAAGATTCACCAGGGACAGAGTGGGGAGCAGAACAGGCAGATCAACGAAGTACACTGCTGAGGGGAGCAGTGGGCAGGTCAGGAGAGGTCTGCCACGCCATGTGGATCTGCTCCGGGGCAGGCAGTGATCAAACTCATGAGAAAGTGGCTTAAGCTTCTCAGTGCAGTGCTTTATCCCGCTGCGCCACCAGGCAGGGCCTAAACTAGCTTGTTTTTATTAAGACAGCTCCTTACCAACTTATACTTATTTTTAATTGTAACTATGTCACACCTATATTCTGAAAGTCTATTAGATAGGTTGTATAGTAAAATGTCATTAAAGAGACCATTAAAACTTCTTCAGAGAAATTAAGCATACCAGATGCATCAGTTACCTTAACAGTAGGTTTCTGAAAACTCAGACAGAAAGAGAAAGTGATAAGTTGCTTTCATTCTCTAACAAAAAGAGAACACCAGCTCTCAACAAGCAAGAAATTTCAAACACTAAATTCAAGAGGAAATTTGCTGTATTGATTCTTGTGCAGGGAACTTCAGATAATAAAACATATAATGTACTTAAGAGATTTTATGGGCGAAAAGAAGTATATTTGAGTTCCATTAGGATAAAATGTTTTACATTTGGTAGCTTTCAGTAATTTTAAAATGTTATGTTTTAACATTTAACACTCAGTAACCTAACCAACAGAATCGGTAACTTTAAATTCAGTAATATAAAGGCCTGAGAAACCAAAACTAGGCAACTGCATTTTTACTGCAGTCTTGACCTCAGGCATTAAGAGCTGAACGATGAATCATTCACTATCTGTTTTTCTAAAACCTTGACTAGATCTCAGATTTCATTTTTCTGTCTCATTTGAATAATGTATTTTAGGCATTTTCACATACCTTCACCATTTTAAGCCTTCCAGTAACAGTGCCGACCGGGGAAGGAATGGTACCATCTTTTAAAACAAATGAGAAAGCTGGGATCCCAAATGTTGGGGAGCCTTATAGAAATCTTTAGGCAGAGGTAGGATTAGAACTCAGATCCCTGGTGCCTGGAGCCACTCCCTCCTGCTATGTGTGAGCACAGCTTTTGGAAACTCAGGTATAATTGCCCATGGCATTAAAGTGATGTCATAGTGTACTCTGGGAACGTTCTCTAATTATCAAAAATTCTTAAAAAATATTTCTTATCATATACATAGCAAATAAGGCGTGAGCTATTAGAATCCCAACTCAAAGTGGCCTCACTGCAAGACATGTCTTGCCAACTGCTGGTGAATGCTGAAGGCTCAGACTGTTTAGAAGCCAAAGAAAAAGTCCATGTTATTGGAAATCGTCTCAAACTTCTCTTGAAGGAGGTCAGTCGTCATATCAAGGATCTGGAGAAGCTACTAGACATGTCGGGCAGTCAGCAGGTAAGCTCTAAAAAGATAGCATTGTAGAACATTTCTCTTTTCCCCATTTTTAAAAAATTTTAAAGAAGTTCTTACCACTTTCCATAATGGTTACACCACCAACTTACTTTCCCATCAATAGTGTCTGTGGTTCCCTTCTCTCCCACATTGTTTCTGTTCTTAGGGAGCATGGCCATTCTCACAGGTGTGAGGTGATATCTCTGTAGCTGATTTGCATTTCCTTAATAGAGCTAATACCCGTCTTTTCATGGTCTACTAGTCATTCGTAGGTCTTCTCTGGAGAAATGCCTATTCCTATGCTGTGCTCATTTTTAAAGCAGGTTGGTTTTTGTTTTCTTTTGTTTTAACTCCTGAGTTGTATGAGTTCCTAGTATATTTTGAATTGACTCATGATATGTAAATACCTTCTCCCATTCACCAATAAGGTCTTTTTGTTTGGAAGCAGCTTTCTTTTGCCATGCAGAAGTTTTTTCAGATTGATGTAGTTTCATTTGCTTATTTTTGCTTTTCTTTCCCTTTTAGTTGAATCTCTAAACACATCTCTAAAGCTGATGTGAATAGAACATAATACTTCACTGTTTTCTTCTATGTATTTTATGGTTTTAGATTTTACACCCAGATCCATTTTAAATTAGTGTTTGTATACAGCGTCAGTAGTCTAGTTTCATTCTTTTGCATGTGGCTGTCTTTTCCTTGCTCCATTCACCCTTTTGCCATAAATGAGTTGTCCATATCTGTG